TAAATACCAAATAGTTTCTCTAGTGTGAGAAACTGAAAGTGTAAATAAGGATTAAAATGATTAAAATGAATAATTGATAATTTGAAATATTAAAAGATCCAAAGGTGTAGGGGTGGTGGGAGGGGAAGGAGAAAGGAAAGAAGGGAGAGGAAAAATTATGAAAAAGGAAAAAAACTGGAAACAAAATCTATGTAAATAGGGAAGGGTGGAGGGGGTGAAGGGTGCCCAGGTAATGAGGAAAAAATAAGAACCAAGATACAACATGTATAGGTACAAGCACCCAATGATAAATGTAAATGTATTGTATACCTAAAATATACCAATAAAAGAATTTAAGGAAAAAAATACGATGTGGTAGTTTTTTTGTTTTTGTTTTTGTTTTGGTACTGGGAATCAAACTCAGGACCTGGCACTTGCCAGGCAGCCATGGTGCCACTGAGCTACATCCCCAGCCCTAGTTAATACTATGTGACAGCAAAATCCAAACAAAATTAGAAATAAGATCAGTTTTTGAGAATTAAACTAAACCTCCTTTTCTTCAATCTATTACCTTTTGAAACCATAAGCCATTCCAACTGTATTCCTATATTCACACCTGAGCATCTGGACAGAGATCAGAAATGCCAGAGTGTGAATCACATCTTCTCTGTGCCTGTCATACTCCAGCCTGACCAAGTTTCCACTTTAACATCAGCACATGAATTTCATAACATATGAAAAAGCATTCCTGTGCTAACCTTCTATGGATATATAAACAACTAACCCATTTTACTTGTTCAGTGTTTAATACACTGCCATTACTGCCCCACCTTCCTTCAAGTGGCTTACCTCAAGAATTCAAAAGAAAAAAATATAAAAGGATGTTCAACCAAATTTTCATACCACAAACATGTGAGTCTTTCATCATGGTTAACAACCCTCATTATGACTAATAACCCCCCATATGTATCTGGGCTTTACAGTGTACAAAACAATTAAGCAGTCATTATATCTCATTTAACCACCACATCATCTATCAATCACACTACCCTTACCTTTTTGGTAGATCCATCTTTCCCCTTCTTTGGGGCCACACAGCATTGGTTGGGACTGCTCTCAGGTTCCAGCCCTGTCCCAGAGGCAGCTTCCTGAGCAGCATCCCTTTCTATAAAATCTCTGTTGCTTAACCTCTTTCTCTTCCTGTGTGTTTCTAGGCCAGGGCTCTTTGTCTTTTCCTCGAACTCTATAATATACGGATAAAGTTCATTCACCATGTGGAGAACCTGGCCAGGCTGCAGTTTCATCTCTTGGTCCTTTCCAATTATGACTGAGTCAATGCTGGTGGGATTGACCCCTACCTATGGAATAAATAATCAGAAAATAATTATAACAATAGCCATGATACATTAGTAATACAGCTGCCAATATGTTAACTACTTACTGTGTCAAGCACCGTGCTTGATGTTCAGCTATATTACTCCATCACTTCTACACATGACACAGAAGCCTTTATTGGCTAGCACAGACATTCTAAAGGCAACACCACAACAAAACCATTAAATACAAAAAGGAAATTCAAGTTACCCACATACCTGCTTTACTTTGACGTAACCTTTGTTACACTCTGCTTTCAACTGTACTGAAAGAGATAAAAAGTTAATCACAAATGCAACAAAAACCAGACATTCGGTCCTGTCCTCTCTAAAGGACAATGAAGCTACACAGATCATTCCCCCAAAGACCTAGGAGCAATTGTCTGATATGCAGGTGGTGGAGGCTCCAAATTCCATTTTGTAAGAGCTTCAAATGCTTCCATAGAATGTCCATCAGTGTATGGACAACCTTTAGCTGGTGCTAGTATCCTCCCAAGTTTCTCTGTTCCGTAACTCCTGGCTGACTCAAGATTACAGACTCTCCCCACAGGAAGGTGCAAGCACCTGGCTCAGGATTAAATCAGGCTTCCATTATTATTAAAAAAACAACAATCAAGCTGGATGTATACCTGTACACCTGTGGTGTATACCTGTAGTCCAAGCTAGTAGGGGGGCTAAGAAATAATCAAAACCCAGGTGTTCAAGACCAGCTTGGGCAATACAGCAAGACCTTGTTTCAAAACAAAAACAAAATCAACTATCAGATGCCTTCAACAGAGAAAGCGGTAAAACATGTTCCCAGAAAACACAAGTTCAGCCAGCCCTGAGTGGAAGAAATGGAAAGAATGTTCTAGAAAGAGCAGTGCATGGACAGAATAGTCTGAGCATGTGTGAGAAGAGGTAATATTATTAAGCACTTCTGTTCAGATAAGTGAACAAAGTATGTAGGGCTGACACCACAGCTGTGCACCAGGGAGGACAGACAGAGGGCAGACTGATACATACATGTCTCTACAGTTGCTGGAAAGAAGTGGTGGCAGCTTCTATGTCTTGGGCCTTTCCAGGTCAAGCACAGCTTTTTATTTTTCCTTCCACTTGGACTAATTCACATGGGAAAGTCCATAACCAGTGCTACAGACTCCAGATCTCTCTAAGTCCAGAATCCTGATCTATGGAATCACACTAGATGGCAATGAGCATGCCCAAAGTTTACAGGAAAAAATGAAGGACTGTACATACATCCTGAAAGTAAGGACTTTCATTAAGCCCTGTGAAAGGGAAGAGTTGGATGCCATAGTCCTATAAAGAGATGACCCTCTGTGTGAGGCAATGAGTAAAGGATGCACCACCCCATTGCTTCTCAGACATGGCTTCAGCCTAGAGACTCCAGAATTTATCAGTCTTGCTGCCCAATGAGCAATCTCCCTAGCAAAGCAAAGCAAGTGCAGGGCTCAACTCCACCACCCCATTGTAATAGGATGGAATCTGCCTGCTCCCAACCATCACCCTAACCTGCCCAGAATGGGAGGACAGAATCAGGAATAAATGAGGCCCTAGTATTGGCTAAAAAGCTGAGTTCCTGAGTTTGGGATGCTTTTTTTTTTTTGGTAAATAAGTTTTTTCTTCAAGAGCATCTGGGAAATGTGTATATTTGGTTATCACTATCTTCCAAAACATGGTAATCTCCACATTCTTATGACCAGTTACCTTGCTGTCGAGAACATTTCTTATCAGTGATCTTGGTTTCTGGGCCACGCCCAATCACAATTGCTTCTGAATGTGGAAGTTTGATTCGCTGGTGCTGGCTGTCCTGTCTCACCAACCAGCACACCCGCATCATCGCTCTGAAAGACAAAACAAGGAAACTTCTGGAAAAACAGATCCATTAACACAAGTCCTCCAGGGATATGTTCTAGTGCCACCATGTATGTAATTTACCAACTGCTCATCTTGAGGCAGGTGACCTCACTTCCTTAGTCTCAATTTCCTAACCTATAAATCTGATAATGACAGGACTCAAGAAGCTACTGTGAGGATTAAATGAGATGATAGGGTACATATTTACCTCCCTGACTGAATCACGCTAAGCAATTAAATATTTGTTACACATTTATTGATATACTCTTTGTGGGGAACATTAATCTACATGCTGAAAGTCTCCCAGGGATTAATAAAATATTGTCCCTGTACTTGTGCAGTACAGACTCAAATACTGATTGTTACAATATAAATACTCTTAAGAAGAGGGTAACAAAATATGGCATTAACTCAATGACTATCACTTGAGGAAAGTATTTTAAAAGATTTCATGAGGAAGGGTATTTATGCAAGGTTTTGTTTTGTTTTGTTTTGTTTTGTGACAAGGTCTAGCCATATAGTATAGCCTGGCCTTGAATTCACTATGTAACCCATGATGGCCTCAAACTCACACCAATCCTCCTGCCTCAGCCTCCCCAGGATCACAAGCATGTGTTACCACCCCAGAATTATGCAAGGTTTTAAAAGATGGGAAGGTTTTAAAAGATTTTAAAAGATGGGAAGGAGTTTGCCTGCCAGAGAATTAGGACATAAGAATAAGAATCTTCATAAGAATGACAGTGTTGGGCTGGGGATTTAGCTCAGTGGTTTTGCCGCCTGCTGCGCAAGCGCAAGGACCTGAGTTCAATCCCCGGTACCAAAAAAAAAAAAGAATGAAGATGTTTTTTGGTTCTTAGGTGTGTTTATGTGTATTAGGTTTTCCTTTTTTAATTGAAATATACCTCTGTTAGAACAATACATTTTACTCCCATCTGCAATAGTGAATAGGCAAATCTACAATTTCTAACGTGTGACTATGACACCTTTGTACAATATACAACCTGCACTACAGTGGAGGTGCTGACGTGCTCTTGAAAAACAATCTTTATGGCTAGGTAGAGTAGCAGAAGAGAAAGAAACAAAAAGTTCAGAGGAGAGATGAGGCCTGAACAAAGTTAGGAGCAAAGTGGATGGGAAGGAAGAAGACCCAAGAGAAATCTGGACAATGGATTTAATTCATGACATTTGGGGAATGACAAAGGATTAAAGGGAGACTCTAAACAAAGGTTTCTAATTTGAAAGATGCCCATTAACCAAAATGAATATACAGCATTAAAAAAATTCAAGAAACAAATGAATATACAGGAAGACATTTTATGATAGCAGTGAAGAAAGATCAATTTCCTTGAAACACAATTAGTTTAAGTTGCCTGTGGAAGAACCAAGAGTCAAGCTGAAATATACAGGCATAAAGCTCAGAAGGAATGGACTGAATGTACATATTTGACAGGTATCAATATGTCATAGAAGCTGAGGCAAGGAGAGAATAAGGATAATTATCCTCTTATTTGGGAAGACTGAAAAGGGAATTACTGTATGGACAAGGCTGGGACTAGATCTTTGAAGTGCCTCCTTCGACTCTAGAATCCTATCAATGCTCAGGCTTCTAATACCCCCTGTTATGGCTTATATCTAGATGTCCCCCAAAGCCTCATGCAATCTTGGTGGGGCTTCTGGGAGTGACTGGATCATGGGTGTGTGGTATTAGATCAGTCCACTAATTGGCTTAGTATAGTTCTGGGTGTGGGTTATGAATTCACTGAAGAGAGAAGACTCACTCTGGTTATGGGTGGCACCAACCAGTTGGTTTGTAGCCTGGATGGAATAAAAAGGGAAGGAAGAAGGAAGTCAGTCCTGCCTGCCCTGCCCTTCTGCCATGCTGTTATGCATTGGAGTCAACTGACTATGGACTAAAACTTCTACAAACTGTGAGCTAAAATAAACTCCTCCTTTAACTTTTGGCTGTCAGGTGTTTTGACTCAGCAATGAGAAAGTAACTAAGACACTCTCTAAAGGAAATCCTGCCTATCATCGAGATAGCACCTATGCCCTCTGTATAAGCTTTGTGTTCATAAACAAAGAAAACATATTTTAAAAAGTCAGCTTCATTACCATCTGCAAAGACAAGACAATACAAGACAGAATGAACAGATGAGAGCTGAAGAAGTAGGAACTGTGTTAGTGTAAGCACATAAAAGCTAAAGAGAGCCAAAGTCCTGTATTAGTCAAGAAAGGCTTCCCGAAACCACACAGCTGGAGAAGGCCAGGAACCGAGGGAATGATAAGGAGGGAAAGGAGGAGAGTGTATTTCATTTTTAAAAGCACAAGTGATGGCACTCAACAATGGTAAGCCACAGGTCAGGGATAAAAGGCAGACTTCACTGGCTACAGCAGAGGAGCTGCCCCACAAAGTCACCAAAAAATTTTTAGATTCAACATCGTCAATACGAGACAACTGCCAAGGGTTTGTGTTTCAAAACAAGATGAAATAACAGAATTCAAAGAATACTATGTCAACAACTGTGTGGGCAGGCTAGAGTGGAGAAAGCTAGAGTTAGACACTAGTCAGAAGGCTGTCAATATAACCTAGGCCAAAATCAGCTCAGCGAGTCTCTGAGAAAAAGTTGATGCAAGAGCACGAAGAGTCAGCTGTAAATCTAAAACCTACACCTAGATCACCAAACAATGATGGTGCTACAGGCAGGCCCCACTTTGAAATGCTGTATGTTCCAAAGGGTACTTGTTTGCACTTGCTAGAAATTGGTAAATGATCAGGTAATGGACTGAAAAGTGATGCATGTCTTCATTATGCATTAGGAAGTAAGTCATGTGGTGACTGACTACTCCTGCTGACAACAGAAGCCAGAGGAGAGCACAGTTTGACAGCAGGGACAAGGAGGACTAACAGACAGCTAGGAGGATGCCCCGCTGTTGCAGGATGGTGAGAACTACCTCTCCTGCCCTCCACAGGTAAAATACACACTTTATTCTCCCAGAGTTCTGAAGTCATGATTTTTCTACTTTCTACTCCAAAAGCTGATGCAATGACTGCACAATGATTATACAACTATTATGGCTCATTTTAGCCTCCAGACCCAATTTTTAGGAATGAAGTTTTAGAATATGAAGAATGCTGAAGGATGGGTGTTTTGAATCTTCAATTCAGTTCTTCAAGTTAAACTCCATAAACTGCAAGCTCTATAACAGCAGAGATCATGCCTATTTTTTAATACTATTGTTCAACTAGTTTTGGCTTTTTGTCTGTTTGTTAGTTTGTTAAGAAGGGTATTACTATGTAGTTCAGGCTGGACTTGAACTCACTATGTAGTCCAGACTTGCCTCAAACTCAGTGACTGTCCTGCCTCAGCCTCCCAAGTGCTGGGATTCTAGGTGTGTGCCACTACGCCCAGTCATCATGCCTATTTTTGTTTATCAATATATCACCAGTATTTAATACAATGCTTGGCATACAGCAAGTATAAACATTTGCAAATGAATGATCAGATGATAATCCCTCCCATCCAAGTGTTCTCATATTTTTCTGCTCTCCCCTCCTTCTCTAGCTTTTCTTCTAGCGGTAGAATGCTCTGCTCCTCATATGAGATTCCCCAGAGAGAGAAGCTGAGGATTTACCATCCTCTGTTTTTCAGCTCCATACCTTTCATTGCAGAGTTGTGGGGATTGGTTGGAAAGAAATCCTGAGTCAGGCATAGTATTGCCTGTCATACCAGCACTTGGGAGGCTGAGGCAGGAAGATTGCCATAAGTTTGAGGCCAGCCTGGGCTACACAGTAAGTTCAAGGCCAGTCTGAACTACATGTAAGACCCTGTCTCAAAATAAAATAAAATTTTATTTTACACACACACACACACACACACACACACATCCTAGAACACTGGTCTTCAACTGAATTTTCTGCAGTGATAGATGTTCTAAACCTGCCCATCCAAGTAAAGTAGCCCCTGTGTGATGATAGAGCACATGAAATGTAGTTAGTACAAAAGAGAAACTGAATTTTTATGTTAGGTTTTTTTTTTCCACTTAATCAATTCCCAGATCCCTCAAGCTTGAAATTAGAACCCTCAGACTCTAACCCTCCAGAGGTTACTTGTTTCACCTCTCTCTTTTTCACAGCCCCACTTACCCATTCCTCTCTCTTCCTTCCCTCAGACACAAACATATCCTTGCAAGTACATCATTCAGGTATGTACTGAATCATGTCTCCCAGAGAAGTAATTCTATCCTTTTTTTCTTTTCTTTTTTCTTTGTTTCTTTTCCCACAAAGTAGGAACCCAGAGTCTTCACACTGAGCTACATACCCAGTGCTTTTTTATTTTTAGAAAGGGTCTCACTCAGGGCCGGGGATTTAGCTCAGTGGTTTCGTCGCCTGCTGCGCAAGCCAAGGACTCAAGTTCGATCCCCAGTACCAAAAAAAAAAAAGAAAGGGTCTCACTAAATTGCTCAGGCTGGGTTCAAACCTGCCTCAGCCACCCAGAGTGCTGGGATTACAGGCATGCACCACCACACCAAACTAAATCATTCTTAATTTGGTCTCCTGGTATTGGTTTATAATCTTTCCTCCTTTCTAAAAACCCAAATCTTAGTCAACTTTCAAGTTTCACCTCCTCCCTAAGGCCTTCACTGAGCCATCTTCTCTTCTATACATCTTGTCACGGGATATGGAAGAACTACCTTCACAGTTCTGAGTGCTTAACATGGATTTAATTCTACTTTCCAAATGAGGTTATAATCCTGGGATTATATCACCATATCACTCCCTACCAATTCAGGAAACATGGAGGGTCTCTGGAGATCACTGCCTTGGGCTAGCCCTGTCTTATACTCCAGGATCCCCTGGTATTCGGCATATGTTTATTAATTATATATCACAGGCACTGTGCTAAATTTCTCACACCATCTTGTTCTAATATTCACAACTTTCATTCTAAGGAAGAGAAAATTAAGGCTTAAACAAGTAAAGTAACACATTCAAATCACATAGCCAATGTGTGCCACAGCTAGGATTTGAATTAATTTCAAACAATGAATTCTTAACCACTGCACCATATACTTTTTGACTTCACTCATTTGATCATTCAATCAAAATTACTGCATTCCTACTATGTGCCTTGTGCTATTCTTACACTGGGAATTAAGAGATAATACATAAGCCTTGCTGTCAAAAGACTCAAGAGTCCGAGAGAAAACTGACATGAAAACAATTATAATAAATGTAGTATGACTGGTCTATAAGAGTGATGGCGAACCTTTCAGAGACGAGTGCCAAATCTGCAACCAAAACTCACTTGTTGCAAAGTCCCAACACTGCAATTAAACCCAAATACTGAGGTTTTGGTTTAAAAAAAAACAATTCATACATTCACACCTTTTGTGTCAATATGCATGCCACTGGTTTGCCACCACTGATCTATACAAAGGATATTATAATGGGAAGACAAAGCTGGAGTACTCAACTCAAACGAGGGGAAAGGTTTTATGGAGAAGGTGACCCTAAACTGAGTCCTACATATTAACTGGGTTAATTTGATGAAAGGGAGCAACCTAATTAAGTGAGGACCAGGAGGTAGAGGAATTAGAGAAGATAAGGATTACCGAACCAAAAGGCACTGAAGAGCAAGGGCAAATGAACAAAGAAGAAACATCACAGTGTGCATGAAGAAACAGTTCAGTATTCTGGAACCTAGAATAGGGTGCAGAGAAGAGGCTACAGATCCAGGTAAGATCCAGATGAGGCAGACCTCTAAGAAACTAAGAAACTCAAATTTTGGAAGTTACAATGGATTCTCCAAATCAACAGACATAAATGTTTGCTGAATGACAGAAAAGAACAGATATATGAACAAATAAATCTTTAAAGATTAAACAAGAATTTGAAACATGTGTTTCCAAAGGCCATTTGCAGAGGTACAGTAGTATAAAAAACACGTGGGTACCCGGACTAGGGGCAGAAAAGCCAGGTAGACAGCCATCATATTTCAGGTGAAAGATGATAAGGCCCAAAGTAAAACAATAGAGTAATCTCTCTTATCTGTAATCTCACTTCCTACAGTCTCAGTTACCCGCAAACACAGTCTGAAAATATTAAATGGAAAATTTCAGGCATAAACAACTCATAAGTTTTATATAACTTTTATAATAGTGTAATTATAATTGCTATTATAGTTATAACAGTTACTGTTATTAATCTTTTTCTGTACCTAACTTATAAACTAAACTTTATTATAGGTACATATACACAGAGAAAATATATATGGTATAGATAGATTTTGGTACCATCTGCAATCTCAGATATCCACTGGAACATACCCCAGAGATAAGGGGGACTACCATGGTACAGACACAGATAAAAGCACAGATTTGAAAAGATTTAGGTGGTAAAATCAGGACTTAGTGATGGGTAGGATGAGTAAGTTGAGTGAGTGTACTGAGTTCAGTTTCAAGCTTCAAATCTAAAGTGTCTATGGGACTCAAAGGCAGAACTCTCCAGGAGGGTACTTAGATGTGAAAGTGAATCTCAGAAAAGAAGGCTAAGTTGACAACTTCAATTTGGGAACATGTAGTAGATAGCTGAGACAAAAGTAATTGGTATGTTCAATATGTACAGAATGAAAAGTGCAGAGGGCAAAGTCAAAGCACTGAAACATCCAACATTCTAGGAGAGGAGGAAAAAAGACTATTCACAGGAGGAATGAATGGTGAACAAGGCACCAGAGAAACAGCTACACTGTAAGAGGTATGATCAAGTTTCAAAAGCATCAAAGGGATCCAGTAATGATTGAAAAACATCTATCTGGTTTGATATTCAATCACTGGTACCTTAACTGAAATTTCAAGAGAATTATGAGTCTTCAAGCTAGACTGCACAAAGGACTGGGAGGTAAGAAAACGGGGACAGACTTTAAAATACTCTTTAAAACAGTTTGGTAATAAGGGGAAGAGATTTACCAGGAGACAGCAAAAGGAAGATGGATCACCAAAGATTTTCTTTCTTTGGTTGGGATGGAGTGTTAAGGAAGATCTGAGAAAACTGACCTTGTTTTTTCATGAATGGAACACAGAAGGAGCAGAAATGACAAATGAAAATAAGGTTTCATAAGTGAAACCATAAAATAAAGGTCAGAAGCAAAGATAAAGGGATGTTCTTTGACAACTCACCCTTTTAAGAATAAAGGAAAAATAAAGATTGAAATCCAAATACTTTCTTTTTTACAGCAAATCAATTTCAGTGTTTCCATATCATCAGAAAGAATGATTTCAACCTTCCTTTTACCTACATAAAACCACTCAGGTGACTGTTTTTAAAAAGGAAAGCATCGGCAAAAATTGGAGGGAAAGTATGTCTCATGATCTTAATGTTCTCCATAAAATAACAGGTAACAACAGAATGATGTACTCAAAAATTTAATGAACAGCTGAAAAAAATCAACATAAAGAGTGATGAGCATCGAGGCCTCTAAACTGGGCTGCTTGAATTCAACTTTGATTCCCCCACCTACTCACTGTGTGACTTCAGGCAAGTCACTTAATCCCAACACTAGTATCACTGCTGTTAATAGGAAGGGTAGGACTAAAGCAGGAGCTACTGAATGTTAAAGAAAAAGAAATCATTCAAAAGTGATGACTTAAGGCGAAGGGGCACAAATTTATGTCTTCTACCCACATAATCCTGTCTCAAGTATTTTACGAAATTCCCAAAATAACTCAAATTCCCAAAGGGCTCCAAACCTAGACCACATTAATTCCATTTGGAACAGAATTCCAAATATCCCTGTTTTGTTGAACTGCTTCCACTGGTCTGTATGGGGAAAGGCTTGCTTCTTCTGGCATTCCTATAAATTCAAATGGGAAGGGGAACAAGCGATGAAGGAGGGGGAGGGAAGGAAAGGAAAAGAAAAAAAGAGACTAGAAGGAAAAAGTAGAAACAAAGCTTTTGTAAATGGGGAGGGGAACAAAGGTTGAAGGGAGTGAAGGGGCATGGGGGAATAAAAGAAAAATCAAGATATATTATGTACAGATACAAATTCCCTATGATAAATGTGATCAATATGTATGATAAATATATACAAATAAAAAATATAAGTTTTTTTAAAAAAAACTACTGACTGACTGTGAAGGAGGGCTCACATTCCTCTCATGCAGCGTTTTTGGCAAAAACACCGTCATTACATGATGAGCTGCCTCTTTGGGATGGTCAATGCCCGCTAATATTTTTATGCCTGCCTTATGACCAAGGTAGGTACAGGAGTCGTAGGCACACGTGAACAAACTCAAAGTAGGCCAGAGACCACCATGAGCGCCCGCTGACACAAGCCAATGGGAACAGGAGAAGATGCCAAGAAAGAAGCCATGAAAGGGCCATTCCAGACACATCACTCACGGATACCAGCAGCCAGAGCCTAACGCCCACACTGGCTTTTCAACCCAGAGTGCCAGCAGACAAGGTAGGCTGACCACTGCCTTACCTCAAGTGATAGATCCTTGCATGCACGTTACTCCGTTTGTACAGCACCTCTTCCGGCGCCTCTGGATGACGTCGTGATGAGCCTCAACGAACCGTCAGTGACGTGCAACGTGTCTCTGAGGATTGGCTAAAAGCACCGGACCCTGTAGGTCCCTCGCTAACCCAGGCAGTTTCGGACACCCGCGAGATCTCTCTCAACGTCTCCCTACTTCACCTGTCACTGCCTCTTAGTCTGAGTTGGGAGACATCAGGCAGTAATCTCCTGGTGGCCTTTTTACGCAGCCATGCAGCTTCTTGACATTCCCTAAGAAGAGGCTTACTACATTTAAGACATCTTTTAAACTACTGGCAGGACCTGCTAGAGCGATGCCGCCTCTTTCTAAAATACACTCAGCTTTCTTCCTTTACGAGAAAGGAAAGACTGGAGAGGAAAGAAGCAGAGGGAAACCTAAGACTTTTTTTAAAAAATTCTGTCTTCATTGAATGAACTGAGGGACAATAAAGGAGGAGAAAAACAGAAGGCTGCAGTGAGATGTGTGTACCGATTTTACAGCAATTCCGGGACGTTTTACTAAGAATCATGTATTGCAGTTGTTCAAAGGCATCTTTCCATCCTCACGAATTAAACCATAATATAAAGTTTTTCTCAAACGCAAAAGAAGCTGACTTAGGGAGCCCATTTCTAGATCAAAATGGAGCATTTTTTCCTTCCGTGGAAAAGCAGAGTCCAATGTATGATGGAGCTATCGTAGCTATCAAAAGGTGGGAGGCTCCTCCAGGAAACACAGAGAGACTTGCTTTTGTTAGAAGAGAAGGTGCAGGTTTATATTAGGATCACACCAAGAAGTGAGGAAGCACAGGAAGCATCTCAGCATTCACACAGCCTCATGGCCGAGGAATGTGGTTCACAACTGCATAAGAGGCAGTTCTAGTGACCTAACCAGTTTTGTCTTTACCTTAGAATTAAGATTCTTTTAGATTCTACTTCTACCTGGCCTGCCTTTGTGTGTCTTGCATCTAAAAATTGGATTTGGTCATTTTAACTGTATTTCATTTAATATGGAAAATTGAGCGGTTTTCACATCTGGCTTTTTAGGTCTAGCCCATTGTTTATAGTGTATCAGTAACCAGAAAAGCCAGATCACATTGCACAAGGCACAAGGCAGGAAGTTAAAACTTTCACTGACTTCAAGCCGGGCATGGTAGCACATACTTGTAATCCCAGCATTTGGGAGGCTGAAGCAGGAGAATCACCAAGAGTCTGAGGCCAGCCTGGATTACATAGCGAGTTCAAGACCAGCCTGAACCACATAGTGAGACCTTGTCTCAAAAGAAAAAAAAAAAAACTTTCACTGAATTCATGCTGTTGTGCAAATAATCTCCAGAACTTTCACCTTGCAAAATTAAACTCATCAATTAAACAACTTATTTTCCCAAACTCCCCTATCGCTGACAACCCCACTATCCTATTTTCCAGTTCCATGAATTTGATCACTACAAACTCCATCTAAGTAAAATCATACAATATTCGGTTTTTTGTGACTGGTTTATTTCAATTAGTATAATTTCCTAAAGTTTACAGTTTCAGTCACTGTATGTAGCATGTGTCAGAACTCTTTTTCTTTTTTGTGGTACTGAGCTCTCACACAGGCAACTAAAGCATTCTAGTGCTGTTATATCCCCAGCCTTTTTTCTTTATTTTGAGCCTGAGTCTTTTTTGGGGGGGAGGGGGTAACGAGGATCAAACTCGGGTCCTTCTGCTTGCGAGGCAGGGGGCAGAACCACTGAGCTAAATCCCCAGCCCACCTGAGTCTTGATAAATTGCCCGGGCTAGCCTTCAGCTTCTGAGCCTCTTTTCTCAGCCTCCCCAGTAGCTGGGATCACAAATGTATTGCATAGATATATTCTGAATAATATTTTTACAAAAATGGATGAACAAGTACCATTTTAAAATCTTGCTTTTACGGTACCAAAAAAAAAAATCTTGCTTTCAATTATGCTGGGTATACACAGGGAAGTAGGATTTCTGGGTTGTATGGTAATTCTATTTTTAATATCTTGAAGAACTGCCATAGTATTTTTCATGGCACCTGTATCATTTTAAATTCCCACCTATAGTGCACAACAGTTTCAGTTTTTTCCACAACTTACTAATACTTGTTACTTTGGTTTTTGTTTGGTTGGGTTGGGTTGGTTTTGACAGTAGCCATTCTTGCTTACAATGAGGTAATATCTCACTGTGGATTTAGCGAGCTTGGGGACTATTTTGCTTGTTGGTTGTTTGGTTGGTTTTGGTTTTTAGAGGAAATGTCCGGCTATGTAGCCCAGGCCAGCCTTGAACTTCAGATCCTCCTGCCTCAGCCTCCCGTGCTGGGACTATAGGCATGAGCCACCATGCCCAGCTCTCACTGTGGTTTTAATTTGCATTTCCCTATTGATCTTTTCATATGCTCCTTCCCCTCTTGTATACATCTTCTCAGAGAAATGTCTATTCAATTCTTTTGCTTATTTTTAATAGGTTATTAGTTGTTGTTGCTGTTGTCACTGGTGTCGTTGTTGTTGTGTGTGTATGTATGTATTTGTTACAAGTTCCTTATATGTTCTGGATATTAACTTTTTTTTCTGGGTATTAACTTCTGATCAGATATAAGATTTGCAAATATTTTCTCCCAATTTTCAGGTTGCCTTTTCACTGTGTTGATAGTATCCTGAGATGCACGTGATTTTTTATTTTTATGTATAATTTACATAATTTACCTATAATTTTGCTGGTTTTGGTGTCATAACCAAAAAAAATCATTGTCAAACCTGACCTAAACTTTTCCTCTGTTTTTTCTAAAAATTTTATAATTTAAGTCTTACACTTAGGTTTTTTATTCATTTTATTTTTTAGGGTACAACTTCATTCTTTTGAATGAATACCCAATACCATTTGTTGAAAAGACTGCTCTTCCCTCATTGAATGGTCCTGTTATTCTTGCTGAAAATCATTTGACCATATATCACTGCAATTTCTATTCTATTCCATTGGTCTGTATGTCTGCTTTTTGCCAGTATAACAATGTTTTGACTACTCTTATTTATTTTTTAAATCAGCAAGGTGATATCTCCAACTTTGTTCTTTTTCTAATTGTTTTGGCTGTTCTCTGGAATCTAAGAGAAAAAAGGTCTCATATAAAATCTAGCAAATTCTGGCAACAAATATCTAGAATTGTGAACAGCTGACATATGCTCCCCCGGTTTACCATTGTCTGTTTATATAACCCGCTGGACTCACTGAAAACCCTCTTTTCTTTGAAACTTTGAAACGTCAAGATTCTTGGTCTAAAGAAAAAGCAGCTTGAGACTGGGAATTAGCTCAGTGGCACTGCGCCTGCCTGGCAAACACAAGGCCCTGAGTTCGATTCCTGGTACCAAAAAAACTGCCTGGCAAAAAGCAGTTGGATCCAGGGGATCTACCTGGCCTAAGGGAAAGACAGATGGAGCCAGAGACTATGGTGGTCTGGTCCAACAACTTGCTCAGACAGAAAGTATGGAGTTCTGGGAGACAGTATAGCTGGGAAAGTATGCTTTGTTTTTGTTTTGAGGAGGTTGTTAGGATTCTCCAGAGAAATGGTAGGGTAGGAGGGTTGAGGAGAGTCAAGAAAGGCCGATCTGAGGGAAGGACAATCAAACTGCATCCAGCCGGGTGTGGTGGCACACACCTGTAGTCCCAGCACTCGGGAGGCTGAGGCAGGAGGATCACTGAGTTCAAGGCCAGCCTAGGCTACATAGTAAGTTCAGGGCCAGCCTGAACTACAAAGGGAGAGACCCTGCCTCAAAAATAATAATAATAATAAACTGCATCCCAGAAGATGGAAAGGAAGTAGACAAATGAACACGATGGAAAAATATTTTAGGTCTATGATCCAAACCAAGTAAAGAGAAGGTGCAAAAGCCCTACAGCATGGCTTTTAGAATATTCTTTAAGGCATAATAGAAGTCCAATCCAGCTAAAAGTCATATGGGTTGGTAGTGAAAGGAAAATGATGAGATCTGATCAAAGACCAAATAGTAAACCACTTAGGAGCTGTATGTAGGTTCATGTTCAATGAAAAACCCTTGAAGAGTCAGCTGGGGAGCGACATAATTTGATTTTCATTTTATGAAGATCACTGTGGCTACTGTGAGGAAGAATGGACTAGAGGGGAGTGAAAGATCAGAAAGGCTGAGAGCCGAAGTTTACTGATGTAATGCAAAGGATCTTGGCAGCATGAACAAAGGGAGAGAAGTGAACTGACTCAAGTGAGATTTTGGAGGCAGCATCATGTACAAGACAAAACATATTCTTTATAGCCAGAGCTAGGTCAGATGCCAAATCATAAAAGTTACTTACTGGTAATAGGACCAAAACCTTCTGAAATATAAATTTAGTTGCATGTTTCTTATATCCAAAAACTTCTCACTTCAAGAACTGATGTTGGCTGCAAGCTTCCTCTGGCTCCAGAGCCTTCTCTTGACCATATCAAGCTAAAAGTGAGGGAATCTATGCCTCCTGGGGACAGCAATGAAAATGATGTAAAGAAGTGAATGAATAAACATTTCCTCACCCCTGATGAAATGACTTTGAAGCATGCACTAGGCCATCTCCCAGAGGCTCCCCAGCCAGAGTAAGCCCCAGCTGCCCAGAGAGGTAGCCTGCACATTATCCAACCCTGTACAGGCTTCTTTCCGGTACTTCCCTTCTACTGAAGGAAGGACGATTAAACTGCATCCAAAAAGGTGGATACTTCTTGGAATTATCTCTAACAAGCTACTAACACCTAAATCCTTGTGTCACTGTCTGCTTCTGGGGAAGTCAAACTAAGGCACTCTACCTGATCATTTTCTAATGATATCGTTTTATCTTTTTTAGATATGTTAACTCCTACTGCTTCCCAACATTTTTATGTTGTGGCACAAAGATATAATATTTGCCAAATACACTGTGATAAGCTTGAGATGGTTTGAGGAGGCCTAAAATGAACTTGGTGACATTTTTTAATTGTATTTTCTTTACAACTGAATATAATAAGAAAGGTTTTAAAACAATACTTGTGGAATGGAAAATAAAAAGAATTAACATGTT